CTTTCTGCTCAAAAGCAGAGGAGTTCGACCGTCAAGTCGAGAAGCTCGGCTTGAATCAGTATCTAGCCACCCCCCGAGGGTTGCATGCGACACAAGGTCATTTTTTATCGTGGGTTTGAGCCCGTAGGCTCAGCCAAAATATGCCCATTTACTCGTAAAAATTAGATCGGTAGGTCATTCTCCCCGAACGAGATTCTGCCCTTCGGCGGAACCTCGTCTGGGTTCCTTTCTGCTCAAAAGCAGAGAGTTCGACCGTCAAGCCGAGAAGCTCGGCTTGAATCGACCTTCTCTCTTAAGAGGCGTAATATACATAGTTTTAGGAAGAGTTCATTCTGTAGTTATAGGTAAGAACCCATGACATATACCAAACGGTAACCACTTCGGAACGGGCAATTTAATCGAAAACGAGGCTGATTTATACATTTGTCTCCTACCACAAAATCACGATACCATTTAATATTTACGAATAATTATTCTAAATTTCTTTTTCTCATTTATCCGTTCCCTGTTCACAGCGAATAAATTTGGCGTCAATTAAAGCGAATTCTGAGCATAAAATCCTGGAAGCTGCCGACAGAAAATAGCCGACTAACACATACGTGATAATAACGAGATTTGCTTACGGTTGTACGCGAATAAATGCGAGAAACCCGGCGTCTGTAAAGTCGACTTCTCACCTCGGCAGATGCCACTTACGTTAATTTTGACGCTGGTCTTAGTCTTGTAGAATCTCCCACAACACAATCTTACCTCTTTGTAGGAAATGCACTCTTCCTATCTGGTGAACTAAATTCTACTTTCAGACAATATAGCAAGTATTCATTGGTCAATCACCTCAATCTGGCTTGCTGATTGGTCAGTTCCGACCAATCAAACCGCCTACGTCGTCAATCTGTTTTTTCCTGCCTGTATGCTGGAGCCACTCAGCCATTATAAAAACCGAACACGTGTGAACCTTTCGAGTAGTAGTTACCAAGTAGTTACCAAGTGCCAAGATGTAACCTTCACTGACTCCGTCTTAGTGATTGCTGACCAGACGTTAAAGACAATTACCAACTTTAGACAGTCAGACCTCCACCTAGAGATGCCCATCAACTCCACGGGTCAAAACTCTGACTTTGCCGCGTAAAAATGCTCTCTGACTCAACAATCCACAAACACACTCTATCTCTCTCTAGAACATTTCTCAAACTTCACTTACTATGCTTTCAAAAGTGATATTTCTCACTGCATAACAAGTATCAGTAACAACAATCTATTTTTCTCAAAGCAGATAAAGGTACGCAACTTTGAACAACTTTGAATATTTGTATAAATTGTATATAAATTGATGTTATTGTTATGCATTCAACTTTTGTCTTGTTTTCAACTTTATTTGCATGATTTGTTCCCAAGTATTTGTTCTAAGTAAATTTGTGGACAAATGTTTGTAGAACACGGCCTCGAAATTCCTTCTGATCAATTTAAACACAATCACCAGTCCGCAACAGTCTAAAAGCGTCAAGGGAGGTGTTAATACGCTCGTCTCCTTCTCTCTGGTGACAGTTTTTTGAACTTGCCCATCTTTAATTTTGTTTGTGGGTTTGAAAAAGGTCATTTGGGAATTCACTTCCAGATATAATTCACCATTTCCATTGGATAATGAACAAACTTCATGTCATTTCATGAAAAGGTCCGTAAAAAAGAATTTTGTTTTGAGAATTGAAGATTATTTGAATTTTGTTTTTAAATGCTAGTTTTCTATTGGCCGAAAAACATTTCGCATCAAAGTGTGAAATTTCACGTGTTTTGTTTAGGATTCGCTTTTGCGTGTGTTAAACAAAGTTTGTAAATTCGAGTCTTTTTAATTTCAATCAATCAATGAGTCAGTGCTTAGCATTTGAATGTTAAATCTAGATCTTGTTTTGTTCACTACAAGAGAAGATATTCAATTAAATCATAGGAATGATCGTTGGAATTAATCGCGCGTTGTCTCACGAAGAAAATCAGAAACCCTTAGAGATTTCAAATTGTTTGCACAAAACTTATAGCATTCTTGAATGTCGACCTACGCAAATGGCACTATGTTGAGGCCTAGAAAGAAAGGTAGTAAAAGAAAGCAAGAAGAAAGGACGGACCGTTAATTATAAGACATGTGTGAGCAATAAAAATCAGTCAGGCATGGAAATATAACCATCAGTGTAGTGTAGTAACAGACGACAGAAATTTGAATGCACATAGGAACAGCAAAAGATGTCTTTCAGAAACTAAGCAAAGTATTAACATGTAGGAAAATAGCCTTAGAAACAAAGAAAAGAGTGCTATGTAATATCTAATCTCCTATATGGCAGAGTGCTATGTAATATCTAATCTCCTATATGGCAGTGGATACCGGACAATCTCCTTGCAGATGAAGAAAAGACTTGAAGCGACAGAGATGTGGCTCTATTGACGAATGCTGAGAATACCATGGATAGAACATGTGACTAGTGAGGAGGTTTTAAGAAAAACAGAAACTATAAGGAAACTGTTACAGATAGAAAGAGACAACTGTAATTTCAGGGATACTTTACGAAGAAAGAAGACACCGAGAATCTAACACACGCAAGATATAAATTAAATTTTGTCCGATAAGGTTTATATTAATTAAAAGCAGAAGTGTGTGTGTGTGTGTTTGTACGTTTATATATTGGGTCGGATTTCCTACATTTTTCAACCGATTTCAACAAAACTTCACAGGACTGAGTAAAATTACCTTGCGGTGGTTCTTACGGCGCCAAAAATTGGAAAAAACACAATCGTTTTGGCATGAAATAAATTTGAAAACACGATTAAGAGGCATCGCTGTCGAGAATGAAAGGGAGACAACTCATATCGAGTTATACTTATTATAAAGCCCAGGTTGTTTGTGTGTTCGTTTATATATATGGAATCGGATTTCCTATCATTTTCCAAACGATTTCAAAAAGACTTCATTTTTTTTTTTGGCAGGTAGTGTTTCTTGTCTTGCAACTTTTTTGCTTTATTTTTTTTCATTCAGAATGCTTTAAAAATTCCATTTACAAGACAATTGTTTATAATAAAATTCTGTTCAATTGGTAGACTCATAACGATTGAAAACAATGTTTTTTGTTGACCAATTCAAAAAAAAAACCCAAAACAAAAAACAACAAAAAAAAACGGAAACAAAACAAAAAAACTAATTAAGACATGCGTGTCCGTCATTCTTAAACAATAATCTTTGTGAATTTTATTTTTCAGTCTTTATGATGATCGATACTTGATCTATCTCTTGGTACATCCCCGGGCAAACGCCGGGCTCTACTGCTAGTAAGATATATTATAGACACTATTGTTTTAATAACAAAATTTTTCGATGAATAATGAATTTTTACAAGAATTATTTTCATTTTTATAAAATTTTAATTATAAAATTTTTAATGTTTTAAAATTCTGTCTTAATTTGTCCCGGATAAGTGATATAATTTGTCCCGGATAAGTGATATAATTTGTCCCGGATAAGTGATATTGTTTTCAAGTAAAAACTATATTCACAAATAAATGGAAAAGAATATTACAATTTGACGACCTCAATATTTAAAAAAGAATTTTGATTTTTTTTTGTCTATGTATAAATGTGCCAATTTTTGTAAATACGGTCGTCCATATACGATATTAACATTAAATAAAGCTAAAGTACCTAAAATTCAACAAAACATTAGATTACGGATAATATTTTCAAATTACTGGGTAGTTCAAAATTATATAAAAAAGGCGCTCACGTTATATTCTCCAAGTAATTTTTACAACGATATCCACCGTAATAAAAACCAGATAAACTTCCGTCTGTCAATCAATCTGTCAACCTGACAACATCGTAAATAAACAGCTACCACTGTGTTAAAAAGTGATTTTATAAGATATTTTAAACTTAAAGTAATATATCTTTCAAATCAGATTAATGAAATCTTAAAACAGCTAATATTCCACAAAAAGTTTCCGAAAAGTATATTTTTTAAAGATTTTTTAATAAAGAGAATTTCATCGTGATGACTAAAATGGCGTTAAAATCAGCGATTTTAGCAATTTCAAAGTAAAAACTCATTCCGGTCGATTTAAATTAGATTTGAAATAAACAAAGTATTTTGCTTATTGGAAATATTATTTTTAATTTGCTTGAATTTATATTATGAAGAAGACTCCCGTTTTAAAAGTATAAATTGTCAATATTTTTTTATTCTGACAAATGTGTCTGGGGGAAGGTCTAAGGAATTAATTCTATAAAAAATATTTTCAAACAAGTTCCCCTAGTTTTTCACTAGCAGAGCAGTTACCTTAAGTAGTGCCAAATACTTAACATAAGGAAGAGGCAGCTGAAATTTCTGGGACACGGAATGAGAAAGGAAATCTGATACTCACAGGACGGATAGAGGGAAAGAAGGCCAAGGAAAAGCAACGTGTGACATACTTTAACAGTCTTTTAAGCAAGTGGATGGCAGAACAGGGTCTGGGAGAAATAACAAAAAAACAAAAAACTTATTGGAAGCTCGACCTTAGGAGGAAGTGGGATCGCCTACGTCCTGAAGGGACACGGCACATAAAGGTCGAATAGAGAGAAAGAGAGACAAGGGAAAGCAACGCATGATATACCTAAGCAAGTGGATGACAGAACGTGATCTGCGAGAGGTGACAGAGCGACAAAACTTATTGGGAGCTACTAGAGATAGGAGGAAGTGGAGAGCCATGATCGCCTACGTTTTGATTTTTGAAGGTACACGGCACATGAAAGAAGAAAGAAGGACAACGAGTAGAATTTAAAAAGTAGTAAGGAGCAGGGATCTTTTAAAAACGAAAACAAAAGCGGTCATAATTGACGTTTAAAAAATTGCAAGTATTGTGCTGGCAAAAGTTAGTGGAACACACGGCAGCCAGTTTCGGGACGAAGGCCGGTTCTTAAAGTGACAACACCCGGTCCCGTCATATAGGAGCCGGGTCATTACAAATACAGCTCACCGCTGTCTTCATGCTTGTTTTCCCCAGCCGCCGCCTTCTCCTGGGGTATAGGGGACGGGGGAGAAAGACGTAGTTAGTTTGTTGATGGTAGCAAGGGCAGTTGGTAGAGAATGAATGAAAGAAAGACAGAATTGAAGATAGAGAAAAAAAGGTGGGCTAGTTGAAGCTGTGACCGTATTTGAGTGGGTTAATTGGGAAAAAAAAGAAAAAAAAAGAAAAGGACCTTCCGCCAAATAAATAAATAAATAAATAAAAATAAAATAAATAAAAAAATAAAATAAAAATAGAAATAAAATGAATAACGAAATAAGAAACAAAAGAAAGAGAAATTCGGCCAGTCTTTGATTAAAAAAAGAAAAAAGAAAAAAAAAAGAGAGCTATAAATTAGGTAGTAATAAAGGCTGGAACCATCACGTCCAGTCAGTCAGTCGCGTTTGTTTTATTCCTCCGGCCACTAGCGGTCAGTAATTATCTGGTGTCGCTAATGAGCGTTGATTTTTTTCCCCCCAAGTACATTTATCCACGGATAGTCTTTTGTACCCTCTCCCACTACCCGTACCTTTTCAGTCTCCTGTCTCCACATTATCTCGCAATCTCTATAACTGGCATCTACAAAGCCAGAAAGATTTGACTGACCATTTACTGGATGAATTATCAGACAATAATTGTCATTCGGATTCTCATCATTACGTTGATTTCCATCCTATCACCAGTTTCAGTTAGATGGGTAATTTCACCTTCAGTTCATGTTTTACATAATCCTTTGTGGCATATAGAACTCAACACTGTGGAATTAGTAAATACTAAACACTTCAAATACATCAGTGTATACATCAGTTTATATAACAAATTTAGCATTCACCAATTGTCCTCATCTTTGTCGCCATATTTACTCAAGACTTTCGGCAGTTGTACGCTCCTTTTCTTTGGTTGGAATGTCAGGTTGAACCCTTTATTTCTCTCACTGGGGTAATGTTTCTCAGTTCCACGTGCCATATTTAATGGGTGTCAGTTATCTCCCTGTTAATTCCCTCTCAGTAGTTCTCCACTCCTATTTTCCGGGTATTGATAAAGGTTATCCACTGTCATGTGTCCCTTGAACACATATCCATAATAAAGGCGTTTTAGATCCAGTATTGTTATGACCCACAGACTGTGAGTTCAATTTTCCTTTAAGGCGGTGGAGAATTTATTGAGGAATTAACAATTAACAGGAAATAACTGATAACTGACATCCATTAAACATGGCACGTGAAATTAGAACAGTCTACCCCAGTAATCAAGGGTTCAGTTCGACATTCTTTACCTGAAGAAGGCTAAAGCGTCTTTAAGCCCGAAAACGTAAAAAAAGGGCTTCTTTAGGCTTGTTTGTGTACTTTTTAGGCCGAAAACGTTGTTCAATAAATATGGCGACAAAGATGATGACAATAGTCCGAATAATGTAAAAATGTATATATTACCTCATCTCAGAAATATAACAGATACTGAAAAAGAAACGTTGTAATAAATATGGCGACAAAGATGAAACAATAGTCCGAATAATGTAAATAATGTAAATAATACCTCATCTCAAAATATAGACAGATACTGAAAGTTTTACGTTGTAAATAAATATAGACAAAGATGAGGACAATAATCCGAATAATGTAAATAGTGTACATAATACCTCATCTCAAATATAGACAGATACTGAAAGGCCGAAACTTTGTAATAAATATGGCGACAAAGATGAGGACAATAGTCCGAATAATGTAAATAGTGTACATAATACCTCTTCTCAGAAATATAGACCAGATACTGAAAGGCCGAAACTTTGTAATAAATATGGCGACAAAGATGAGGACAATAGTCGAATAATGTAAAATAGTGTGTACATAATACCTCATCTCAGAAATATAGACAGATACTGAAAGGCCGAAACTTTGTAATAAATATGGCGACAAAGATGAGGACAATAGTCCGAATAATGTAAATAGTGTATATAATACCTCTTCTCAAATATAGACCATATACTGAAAGGCCGAAACTTTGTAATAAATATGGCGACAAAAAGATGAGGACAATAGTCCGAATAATGTAAATAGTGTACATAATACCTCATCTCAGAAATATAGACAGATACTGAAAGGCCGAAACTTTGTAATAAATATGGCGACAAAGATGAGGGACAATAGTCCGAATAATGTAAATAGTGTACATAATACCTCATCTCAGAAATATAGACAGATACTGAAGGGCCGAAATGTTGTAAAAATATGGCGACAAAGATGAGGACAATAGTCCGAATAATGTAAATAGTGTACATAATACCTGATCTCAGAAATATAGACAGATACTGAAAAGCCGAAACGTTGTAATAAATATGGCGACAAAGATGAGGACAATAGTCCGAATAAATAAATAGTGTACATAATACTCTTCTCAGAAATATAAACAGACACTGAAAGGCCAAAATTTGTAATAAATATGGCGATAAAGATGAGGACAATAGTCCGAATAATGTAAATAGTGTACATAATACCTCATCTCAGAAATATAGACAGATGCTGAAGGCGGAAACTTTGTAATAAATATGGCGACAAAGATGAGGGACAATGGTCCGAATAATGTAAATAGTGTACATAATACCTCTTCTCAGAAATATAGACAGATACTGAAAGGCCGAAACTTTGTAATAAATATGGCGACAAAAGATAGGGACAATAGTCGAATAATGTAAATAGTATACATAATACCTCTTCTCCCAGAAATATGAGACCCAGACACTGAAAAGGCCGAAACTTTGTAATAAATATGGCGATAAAGAGATGAGGACAATAGTCCGAATAATGTAAATAGTGTATATAATACCTGATCTCAGAAATATAGACAGATACTTAAAGGCCGAAACAGTTGTTTATGGCGAAAAAATGAGGACAATAGTCCGAATAATGTAAATAATAAATTTTCTTCCCAGAAATATTTTCATTTGAAAAAGGCCGAAACTTTTAATAAATATGGCGATAAAGATGAGGACAATAGTCCGAATAATGTAAATAGTGTACATAATACTCATCTCAGAAATATATAAACAGATGCTGAAAGGCCGAAACTTTTGTAATAAATATGGCGACAAAAGATGAGGACAATAATCCCTGAATAATGTAAATAACATACATAATACCTCTTCTCAGAAATATAGAACAGATACTGAAAGTCAAACTTGTATAAATATTTAAAATTGAGGGACAATAGTCCGAATAATGTAAATTGTAACATTAAATAAATCTCAGAAATATAGACAGATGCTGAAGGCCGAAAACTTTTCAATAAATATGGCGACAAAGATGAGGACAATAGTCCGAATAATGTAAATAGTTTTACATAATTTCATCTCCAGATCCCAGACCGATACTGAAAGGCCAGAACGTTGTAATAAATATTAGACAAAAGTAGGACAATAGTCCGAATAATGTTAATTATTGCATAATAAGTCTTCTCAGAAATATGAACCCAGATACTGAAAGGCCAAACTTTGTAATAAATATGGCGAAAAGATGAGGACAATTTCCGAATAATGTAAATAGTATACATAATACCTCATCTCAAATATAGACCAGATACTGAAAGGCCGAAATTTGTAATAAATATGGCGACAAATTTGAGGACAATTTCCGAATAATGTAAATTTTTTAATATATTTTCTCAGAAATATAGATAGACATTTCAAGGGCCGAAACTTTGTAATAAATATGGCGACAAAGATTAGCCGACAATAGTCGAATAATGTAAATAGTCTTCATAATAAAAAATCTCAGAAATTAGACAGATTTGAAAAAGTGGAAACTTTTATAATAAATATGGCGACAAAGATGAGGACAATAGTCCGAATAATGTAAATAGTGTACATAATATTTCATCTCAGAAATATAGACAGATACTGAAAGGCTAAACTTTGTAATAAATATGGCAATAAAGATGAGGACAATAGTCCGAATAATGTAAATAGTGTACATAATATACCATCTCAGAAATATAGATTTGATACTGAAAATAAACGTTGTAATAAATATGGCGACAAAGATGAGGGACAATAGTCCGAATAATGATAAATAATTGTACATAATACCTCATCTCAGAAATATAGACAGATACTGAAAGGCCGAAACGTTGTAATAAATATGGCGACAAAAATGAGGACAATAGTCCGAATAATGTAAATAGTGTTACATAATACCTTTAATCAGAAATATAGACAGATATGAAAGGCCGAAACTTTGTCCTAAATATATTATAAAAGATGAGGACAATATATCCGAATAATGTAAATAAACAAAAAATACCTCATCTCAAAATATAGACAGATACTGAAAAAGGCCGAAACGTTGCCTTCTATAAATATGGCGACAAAATGACAGGACAATAGTCAGAATAATTTAAATAAATGTAAATAAAATGAGGACAATCTCCTCAAAATATAGACAGATACTGAAAATAGGAATGAAAACTTGTGATAAATCCATTAGACAAAGATGAGGACAGAAGTCCGAATAATGTAAATAGTGTACATAATACCTCATCTCAGAAATATAGAGGCCAGATACTGAAAGGCCGAAACGTTTGTAATAAATATGGCGACAAAGATGAGGGACAATAGTCCGAATAATGTAAATAGTGTACATAATACCTCATCTCAGAAATATAAGACAGATACTGAAAGGCCGAAACGTTGTAATAAATATGGCGATAAAGATGAGGGACAATAATCCGAATAATGTAAATAGTGTACATAATACCTCATCTCAGAAATATGACAGATACTGAAAGGCCGAAACTTTGTAATAAATATGGCGACAAAGATGAGGACAATAGTCCGAATAATGTAAATAATTATTATAATACCTCATCTCCGGAAATATAGACAGATACTGAAAGGCAGATACTGAAACGTTGTAATAAATATGGCGACAAAGATGAGGACAATAGTCCGAATAATGTAAATAGTTTACATAATACCTCATCTCAGAAATATAGACAGATGATACTGAAAGGCCGAAACGTTGTAATAAATATGGCGACAAAGATGAGGGACAATAACGAATAATGTAAAATAGTGTACATAATACCTCATCTCAGAAATATAGACAGATACTGAAAGGCCGAAACTTTGTTGTAAATATGGCGACAAAGATGAGGACAATCCGAAAATAATGTAAATAGTGTACATAATAAGTCATCTCAGAAATATAGACAGATACTGAAAAAATAAACGTTGCGCGAATATGGCGACAAAAGATGAGGGACAATGATTCCGAATAATGTAAATAGTTATACATAATAAGTCATCTCCAGAAATATAGACAGATACTGAAAGGCCGAAACGTTGTAATAAATCCGATAAAGATGAGGGATAATAGTCCGAATAATGTAAATAAAATACATAATACCTCATCTCAGAAATATAGACAGATACTGAAAAAATTCGAAACTTTGATAATAAATATGGCGACAAAGATGAGGACAAATAGTCCGAAATAATGTAAATAGTGTACATAATAATTTCTCAAAAAGATAGACAGATGGCTGAAAAAGCCGAAACGTTGTAATAAATATGGCGACAAAGATGAGGACATAGTCCCTTCATAATGAAATAGTGTACATAATACCTGATCTCCCTTTTCAATATAGACAGATCTGAAAAGCCGAAACTTTGGGATAAATATGGCGATAAAGATGAGGACAATAGTCCGAATAATGTAAATAATTATTACATAATACCTCATCTCAGAAATATAGACAGATACTGAAAGGCTGGAACTTTGTAATAAATATGGCGATAAAGATGAGGACAATGGTCGAATAATGTAAATAGTGTACATAATACCTCAAACCAGAAATATAGACAGATACTGAAAGGCTGAAACTTTGTAATAAATATGGCGACAAAGATGAGGACAATAGTCCGAATAATGTAAATAGCCTATAATCCAGAGATCTCAGCCATATAGACAGATACTGAAAGGCTGAAACCTTAATAAATATGGCTACAAAGATGAGGACAATGGTTTCAATAATGTAAATCAGTGGACATAATACCTCATCTCGAAATATAGACAGATACTGAAAATTTCGCGTTGTTATTTTTGGCGACAAAGATGAGGGACAAAAGTCCGAATAATGTAAAATGGTGTACATAATACCTCTTCTCAAATATAGACAGATACTGAAATCCGAAACGTTGTAATAAAACTAAAGGAAAAGATGAGACAATAGTCGAATAATGTAAATATCCTATAATAATTCATCTCAGGAAATATGAACCAGACACATGAAAGGTGTGAAACTTTTGTAATAAATATGGCGATTTCAATTTGAATAATTATAAAATTAATAACAATTGCCCTGAATAAGGTAAATAGTTTTTACATTCTACCCTCTCAAAATATGACCTATTCACTGAAAGGCCGAAACGTTGTAATAAATATATGACAAAGATGAGGACAATAGTCCGAATAAATTTCAATGAGTCCATCATAATTCTTTTCTCAGAAATATAGACCAGATGCTGAAAAGGCCGGGAAACTTTGGAATAAATATGGCGACAAAGATGAGGACAATAGTCCGAATAATGTTGATAATGTAAATAACTCCTCATCTCAGAAATATAGACTGATGCTGAAAGGGCCAAACGTTGTAATAAATATGGCGACAAAGATGGGGACAATAGTCCGAATAATGTAAATGACTTGTAAAACTAATACCTTTGATCTCCAAATATAGACAGATACTGAAAGGCCAAAACGTTTATGTAAATATGGCGACAAAGATGAGGACAATAGTCCGAATAATGTAAATAGTGTACATAATACCTCTTCTCAGAAATATAGACAGATACTGAAAGGCCGAAACGTTGTAATAAATATGGCGACAAAGATGGGGACAATGGTCCGAATAATGTAAATAGTGTACATAATACCTCTTCTCAGAAATATAGACCCAGATACTGAAAGGCCGAAACTTTGTAATAAATATGGCGACAAAGATGGGACAATAGTCGAATAATGTAAATAGTGTACATAATACCTCTTAGTTAGAAATATAGACAGATACTGAAAGGCCGAAACTTTGTAATAAATATGGCGACAAAGATGAGGACAATAGTCCGAATAATGTAAATAGTGTTTAATACCTCATCTCAAAATATAGACAGATGCTGAAAGGCCGAAACGTTGTAATAAATATGGCGACAAAGATGAGGACAATAGTCCGAATAATGTAAAATAGTGTTTATAATACCTCATCTCAGAAATATAGACAGATACTGAAAGGCAAAACTTTGTAATAAATATGGCGACAAAGATGAGGACAATAGTCCGAATAATGTAAATAGTGTACATAATACCTCTCTCAGAAATATCGACAGATACTGAAAGGCCGAAACTTTGTAAATAAATATGGCGACAAAGATGAGGACAATAGTCCGAATAATGTAAATAGTGTATATATAATACCTCTTCCCAGAAATATAGACAGATACTGAAAGGCCGAAACTTTGTAATAAATAACAACGATAAAAGATGAGGACAATAGTTGATAATGTAAATAGTGTACAAATACCTCTTCTCCTATATGTAAATGAAAGGTACAAACTTTTAATAAATGGTCTCAGAGGACAATAGTCCGAATAATGAAATAGTGTAAATAAATACATCATCTCAAATTGAGATACTGAAAGGCCGAAACTTTGTAATAAATATGGCGACAAAGATGAGGACAATAGTCCGAATAATGTAAATAATGTACATAATACATGATCTCAGAAATATAGACAGATACTGAAAGGCCGAAACGTTGTAATAAATATGGCGACAAAGATGAGGACAATAGTCCGAATAATGTAAATAATGTACATAATACCTGATCTCAGAAATATAGACAGATACTGAAAGGCCGAAACGTTGTAATAAATATGGCGACAAAGATGAGGACAATAGTCCGAATAATGTAAATAGTGTACATAATACCTCTTCCCAGAAATATAGACAGACACTGAAAGGCCGAAACTTTGTGATAAATATGGCGATAAAGATGAGGACAATAGTCCGAATAATGTAAATAGTGTACATAATACCAATTCTCAGAAATATAGACACATACTGAAAGGCCGAAACTTTGTAATAAATATGGCGACAAAGATGAGGACAATAGTCCGAATAATGTAAATAGTGTACATAATACCTCATCTCAGAAATATAGATAAATTTAGTATTGAACAGAGAATAAGGGGTAGTTTTGTCGAACACCACAAATAGCTACAAAAACCAAAACATTAACCTGAAAACTCGAGTTATGTTCTGAATTAATTTACCTTTTCAGATCGAGACTTTTATATGGATGTCATACACGGTGCCAGACCCGTTCAGAAATTTCTAAACTGTCTAATGTATCCTACCGCCTTCTAAGATTAATGGTTAAAAATGTCTTTGAAGGACTGAAGGATATGGGTTTTGGTAAAGACCAGCCTTCTTCGAAACTTGTGGATTGGCGCTACAGAATCACAAACGAAGAACTGTAACTAAAAAAAAAACAGAAACCACATGACTTGAGGACTTTCAACAGGAGCAACAACTAAAACTAATTAATTAATCCATAGATGGGGGAGAAGACTGGATTCATACCTTTCCCAAGGGTATTTGTGCGTAAGTGAATATAACGAACCCAACAGGAATTGGATCTCCGATTAAAATTCCCAAGTCATTATCCATTATCCACCGAAGCTTACAGCAGCTGGTATTCCCAAGGGGTGTCCCATCAAGGTACTGACCAGAGTCGACAATGCTTAACTTAGGTGATCGTACGTGAACCGGTGTTTCAATGTGATGTGGCCGTAAGCCTGTTCATTTTCTCTCTGGGATGTCAGATATGCTGTATATTGTTTTACAGCCTGGTCCAGAGATTGAAATCCCACCCACTAGATGACAGTGACACAGGGACGGAATAAAGTGTTCGGTTCGAAATTCCAATCACCTGAAGAAGGTCAGAGCGTACAACGGCCGAAACGTTGCGAATATGATAATGAAGATAACAGTAGTCATAATGTTAATAATTTAAGTAGTCAGCCATCGCCTAAATCCATTGCACAACCTCCAAGGGCATCAACGGTGTATTTTTGGAGCCTTTGTATTCATTGTCAGATGATTTCGGCATTTGGTTATCATGGCAGGTTTGAAACGCTTTTCTATATTTTGCATTTCATTTTTTAGATGAGGGGTGGTTAATATTCTTTAATTCAATCGAGTTGTAGTTCTCAGCGTGTAAAGCATCGATAATAATCAAAATTAGAACAATAGTAAGAATAGATTAAAGTAAGGGTCTGTAATGTTATCGGTCCTGACCTGGCATCTCGACTTCAGTTACTGGCTTTCCGTGACGTGGCTTTCCCCGTCTTTCTTATAAATATTTTCATGGCAATTGTTTCTTTTTTTTTTCAATTCACCCCAAGCAAGGTGATAATGCCATTAAGATGCACAGAAAAAGAAAGAATTAGAAAATCAACCCTAAATAGTAAACAAGGGATACATCTCCACTCCAGTTGAAAAGACCGGGGAGGGGTGTGAACCGGGCGATAGGTGAACCTATCTATTCCTATTATTGTTTTTTTTTTTTCAATTCACCCCAAGCAAGGCGATAATGCCATTAAGATTTAACGGGCTACTAGGAGTGAAAGAGAATGAAGAAGACTTCAGAAAGAATTGGAAAATCAATCCTAAAGAGGAAACAAGGGATAAATCTCTACTACAGTTCAAAAGGCCGGGGAGGAGTGTGAACCAGGCGAATATATTTACTCCTATTATTAATATTATTGTTGTTGTTCTGATGATCTTTCCCCCTTGTTGCCTTGGCCGCATGAATTTACTTGAGTTACTTGATTGGCAATTAGGTCTCATCGTTTTAATGTTGAACTACCTATATACAACTGTATGTTCTACTCTAATAGTTTCTTTTCTCGCCTGTTGAACTCCCTTCCGGTTTCTTGCTTCCCTGCCACCTATAAACTTCAAGATTTTAAGTACAATGTCAATCACCAGTGACGTTGATTAATATTTAAAAGAAATTGGGCTTCTACTAATCGCAGGATAATTTTGATCCGCATATAAATATCACATTCTCAAAAGTAATATCCATGTAATGGTCGACTTCTATAAATGGCCTTTCCAAAGTGCCACTAAAAAATGCCGACTTGTAACGTGTAGTGAACAAAACAAGATCTAGATTTAACATTCAAATGCTAAGCACTGACTCATTGATTTTGTTAGAAATTAAAAAGTCTAGAATTTACAAACTTTGATTAACACACACGTAAAAGCGAATCCAAAACAAAACTCGTGAAATTTCACACCTTATGCGAAATGTTTTTCGACCAATAGAAAACTAGGAAACATTTAAAAACAAAATTCAAATAATCTTCAATTCTCAGAAACAAATTCTTTTACGGACCTTTTCGCGAGCCGACGCGTAGTTTGTCGCACCCAGTGGAAAGGCCCGATGATATCCGGAAGTGAATTCCCAAATGACCATTTCAAGCCCCACAAACAAAATAAAAGACGGACAAGTTCACCTGTCATCAGAGAGAAGGAGACGAGCGTATTAACCCGTCCCTTGACAAACGTCAAGCGATCGTTATTATTATCTCTACCATTCTCCCTCACCTCTTTTATATTTGATAAACGAACGGAGCATTTTAAGACTGAGCGATTACTTCAAAGACGATAACGCTCATACATACATACATACATACATACACACATACGTTCCTGCCTACGTACGCATAAACTCATTCTTGCAAGGACTACTACGAACATTTTGCCGACTTTGTATCAACCAAAATACATTAATTTTATTTGTAGAGACCTTAATTGATTTATATGTATATAAATTTGTTGTTTCACCTTACAATTTGATTTTCTTGTTTTATAGCCCTCTTATGGTGGGCTATCTAACAAACAAGGCCAAATCAAACTAACCTGTTTCAACACTCATACACTTCGCTCTAACTGATAACCCACTATAAACGTCTGTTTCGATTCAGATTAATTGAACTTTAAATCAGTCATTTTTTCTCACATATCGTTTCAGGAAAGTATATTCCAATTTTGAAAGAATTTTTAATAAAGAGAATTAAGTTGCGTTGGCAGATTTGTCAATATGGACGATTTCATAGATTTTACTGATAAGAAGAAAAAATGGATTCAAGCCAATTCAAATTCGTATTAAATGCGCCAAAATAGTTTGTTTATTGGAAACATTAAATTTATTATATTAGCTTAGAATTAAAGCTTCAAGAAAGATTTTTAATATTTAAAAAATGCATTTAATTTTTTAAAACTTAGATATTGCCTGTTTTTTGAAGTTACCTACCTAAATGTATTTATAATATTGAAGTAAATAACGAATCGACGTTTACACGAGTATATACGGAATTATCTATTTACGATGCGCGTGCGCACACAGACACGCACACACACACACACAACACACACACACACACACACACACACACACACACACACACACACACACACACATATATATATATATTAACTAAGACGTTAAAGTTACATACAGGATGATCTGCGTCCAGTTCTGCTCCATATGTCAAAATCGAATTGGCGAATTTGTCAAGATCTGCAATTTTGCGCGGGAACCAAGGAACTGAAATAAAAGAATAAAAGGATGTCATTTATTTGTTGTTTTTTTTATCTTCACGGCAATTTTCGCTACAGAAGACGATAGGCGTAAGCATCTGCCGTAGAAATGGGGAAAAGTTGAATTTATTTTTTTTATGAGAAAATAATTTCTCGAACAAAAATTTGAAGACTTGATCTAATACTATCATTGAAGGCAGTTTGATTACACATTCGACTGTGTGTGATTTGTTTTTAATTTTTTCATTTGAAAATACAAAAATCCTTTTTTAAATAAAAAAAAATCTCCCAATAGGAAAAATATTGTGAACATTTCTTGTTTCTAAAACAAAAGATGTTTACACGTATGGTCCTCTTTAGTAAAAATCGCCAATGGCTTTAAATAATAAAAACGTTACCTTCAAGGAAATTTTACATAATTCAAGAAACATTGGACTTAATCATTGTTTCTTTATATGGTTATGTACGAGAGTGTGTGAGTGAACAAGTGAGACCGAAACAAAGCAGACGAAATTTTAATAAACAATAGTTTCTTGATGAAATTAGGCGGGCCATTCAGAAAGTCAAACGGGTCGCATGAAACCCGAGGGCCACAGTTTGCCCAGGGCAGGTCTAGATATTGTTCAATGCCTACAATTATTGATGTTTTGGAAGTTCTTTGATATTACCGCAAGTTTTATGTTGGCAGTTTCTTCTCTCGCTCTTCTCACTCGTAGAACTCTCTTTCGGTTTATTGCTCTCCAGTAAAATTTGCTCCTTAAAAATTTAAATGCAATGTCAATCGTTATCTTCTGACTTCTTAATTTCTCTTCATTTACTATTCTCTCTCCTTTTTCTCACATTATTTCACACTCTGTAATCCTTTGTGACTTAGTGGCTTCATTACCTTGAGTGGGGTGAAATGATAAAACAAAAATATAAGATTTCGGATTACCAAATCTATCACAGTTTTGATTCAAACAAATTAAAAAACAGTGTTAATTATCCGAGTCAGGAAATCTATTGCAAATGATTTTACTACAGAAATCCATTGTAAATGATTTTACTACAGAAATGCATTGCAACTAATTTCATTATAAAAATGAATTGTAAATGATTTTACTATAGAAATGGATTTCAAATGATTTACTATAGAAATCAATTGTAAATGATTATAATATAAAAATTTAACGTGGATGTTTTTTATTGGCATACATTGAAAACGAGTTTACTGTTTGATGCAATTTTTTTTATCAATTCACCCAAAGCAAGGCGATAATGCCACTAAGACGCAAGGGGGCTATTGGGATTGAAAGACAATGAGAAGGCTTTAGGAGGAACCGGAAACCCAATCGTAATCAGGAAACAATGGATAAACCTCTACTCTTGTTAAAAAACAAAAACAAAAACCGGGAAGGCGTCTGAACCGGCCGATAGGCGAACATCTATTTTTATTGAAGTAGCGCATATCGATCAGCCTTTAAACATTTACCGTTCTCTTTTTATGAAATAGAAGAAAAAAAAATGATAGTCATGAGTTCATGATATATAAATGACCTACGTTGCGGCTACTGGGAGGGGGCACATAATCCCGGCCTGATCAGTAGTTGAACAAGGCCAGTACATTCAACACGGCCAATCACAATGATTTGGGATTTGGTACAAGCACTGACTTCATGTACAACATAGAAAATGCAATAAGCAAATATACAATAAAAATGTAATAGCAAAGATAATTTTATGAAAAAATGTACTGTAAATGATTTCACTATAATAATACATTGTAAATGATTTACTATAGAATTGCATTGTAAATGATTTAACTATAATAATGCATTGTAAATGATTTTACTATAGGAATGCATTGTAATTGATTTTATTATAGAACTACATTGTAAATAGTTTTATCATAGATATGCATTGTAAATGATTTTACTATAGAATTGTATATAAATAGTTTTACTATATATATGCATTGTAAATTATTTTACTATAGAAATTGTAAATGATTTTATTATAGAATTAATTGTAAATGATTTTACTATAGATATGCATTGTAAATGATTTTACTATAGAAAACCATTGTAAATGATTTTACTATAGTAATGAATTGGAAATACTTTTATTACAAATATGCATTGTAAATGATTTCACTTGAGTAATGCATTGTAATGCATTGTATATAGTTTTACTATAGAATTGCATTGTAAATGATTTAACAATAGAATTGCATTGTAAATGATTTAACTATAGTAATGCATTGTAAATTATTTTACTAATGGCGCACTTCGAGGAGGAGAGACGAGGAGCGCTCGAGGGGAGGCGACGCCAGCGTCCACTGCAACCTGCCCATTCCGCATGGAAATGGATGTTGTCTGTGCCCGAGAACTTGTTCGCGGAGTAGGCTTTACGAGGAACCGGAAACCCAATCGTAATCAAAAAACAAGGGATAAACCTCTACTCTTGTTCAAAAGCCACTAAGAGACAAGGGGTTATTGAGTATGAAACAATAAGGAAAAGGAGAAAGATTATTAAGGAGAGAGAACAATAGACGAGGTATCAAGAAGACAATGGATAGTGATTGACATTGCATTTGAAGTTTTGAAGATCAAAATTGATTGGAAAGCATGGTCCCGGAAGAGAGTTCCACAAGCAAGAAGTGCGAGAAAAGAAGCGGTTAGCATAGAACTTACGGTTACATCTAACCAATTCAACTGTGAGTTGATGAGACCTCGACGCCAATCTAGTACTGCGCTTGTTCTTTCCAAAAACTAAGTAAAGTATTAAGAAACAGGAAAATGTCATTAGAAACAAAGAAAAGAATACTTGATTGTTGCACAATATCAGTACTACTATATGTCAGTGAATACTGGACAATCTTCCCGCAGATGAAGAAGAGACTTGGAGGGCTAAAAGGATAGGAAATTGTGGAGAGCCATGATCGTCAACTTCCTGAAAGGACACGGTACATAGAAGAACGAGCTTGTATAAATGGATGGTAGAACGGAGGTTAGGAGAATTAGCCAAAAGACAAAATTTACTAAGGATTACAAAGGATAGGAAATTGTGGAGAGCCATGTTCGCCAAGTTTCTGAAGGAACATGGAAACTAGAAGCAGAATATAAAATATTATCTTAACGTATAATCCTAAAACTATTTCAATTGAATATTTCTTGGCTTACGGAGCAAAATGGGCAGAAACTTTGCTGCAAAAGTCTGATTTTCAAAGAATCACCAGAAGATAGAGACTGTTGGACTCTATACATCTAATCGAGTTCCATTCCAGACCACATTCTAAACAAATCTACCAATAGAAGACAACGATCTTGCTTTCCCTCCCGAGGCCAATATATTGATGATGAGGGCAACTATGCTGATGACATACACATTTGTGCAAGTTAATTGAAACAAAACGAATCATTCCGTTTATTTTTCGTATTTTTCCAATGAAACATGACCCAGTGCACATGTTAGTACTTCGTATATCCATTCCACGAAGTCGTTCCTTGCAGATTGACCACAGATTCCCGATTGGATTTAACCCAGGAGAGTTTCCGGTCAGTCTATAGTACTTTGATTTGCTCACTGGTAAGGCTTGCCAGTGTGTTCGTGCAGCGTTACAATTTTTATACGCTTCCTTGGAGAAACATCCATCGCAAACAATGGGCGTAGGGCAACTAATCGACAGTCGAGACAATAGTGCCTGGGAGTGATAAAAATCTGATGCAGGCCAAACAAATTTCATCATACACACCGAAAATAAAATAATTCATATTACTGCACACTACTGCAAATGACCTAATCTGAAGAAATAATAGTAATCGATTGCACCCTGTCACTCCAGTGGGTCTAAAACTGACCGTATGGTGAAAGAAAGGAAAGTAAAGCGGTTGCTTCAATTAATTTGCACAAAAGTGTGGGTATTCATAGGTTGCGAGAAAAATGTTCTTGAACAGATCAATATCCTGGCAAACTTCGTGCCGGTAAAAAAATGGAGTCCAAAGGACGGTTTTTCCCTTGACAACGCTATTATTTTAACTACCTTCACACCTCGGGAATGTTTGTTGTTTTAAAAAGCAATCATTAGAACTGTAATAAAGTCTAAACATATGAAAATTACTACACCCTGCTCGGTCAATGAATATCAAATTTTTCCTTATAAGGAAACAGTTAATATTATCACAATCATTCTATCATTCTTCTTCTATGTACCGTCTCCAGTCAAGACGTTAGCGATCATAGCTCTCTAAAATTTCTTTTCTTTGGTAGCATCACGTTGAAACACTGGTTTCAGTACAATCACCTCTTCTTACCTCAGCTATGGGTTAATTAATAGAGCTTGTATCAGTAAAAAAAAGTATCCCCCAAACTCTTAAAATCTACAAATATTTTCTAACTTTAAATAACTTGGAAAAGGTTGATAAGCCGTAAAAAACCAATCAATCAATCAAACAAGACTGTGTGTGGGTGTGTGTGTGAGAGAGAGAGAGAGAAAGAGAGAGAGAGAAAGAGGGGGAGCAGAAAGAGAGAGAGAGAGAGAGGGGTGGAGAAAGAGATGAGGAGGAGAAGAAGAGAGAGTGAAATGAAAGAGAAAAATTCACAGAGAAAGACGCGCAGACCGTGGCAGTGAAAGAAATAGCGAAGATGAGAAAAACAAAACTCATAAGATGAGGATCAACGATAAAAAAAATTCCTGGTCTAAATTGGACACAAGGTCTGATTCAATGAGCACTCAATGAGGATCAAAATCATTATAAATCACTTGTAAGATCAATACGTTCAGAATGTGGAGACTAGACCAAAACGATAAAATAATATTGTAGTGAATATAATTACAGACCCCACTCTCCTCTGGTCAGAATTTTGACGACCCGTGGACGTGGAATCCTGACAGTGAGAAATTGTCTTTGTTTAAGTTTTGGCATAACACCGAAAAAAAAAAAATAAAAAAAAATAACGTCCCAAAATTATGAGTTCGGTTGCGGCAGTAGATAAGTCAAGAGCTCCGATGGTGTCTGAGCCTTCCTCTTTCACATTTCTTTGCGTACCGTTGGTTCAACAGGGAGATATATCACCGCATGAAGTTTTTGGCCGAAATGCTGACATCCATTCTTTTTATCTCTCCTCCTTGTTTCCAACAAGAAACAACATCTAGCGTTGTCCCTCCCGACGAAAATAAAGCGAGTAAAAAGAAACCTGATGAAAATTGTCTGTTTTTGATTCAGTCTACTGATGCAGCGTTGGTGTCCCTACTGAGAAACTGTCGATAGACTACTAGAGATATCATACTCCATGTAAGGCTAGCGATCGACCAACTATGGTAGCTCAGCAAAAAGATGAAGAAAGATAAGTGGGTGAGAAAGGAAGAGAGTTTAATATCCAGAAAATGGAGCAACTTACTTTCCGTTTTATTACCGTCTTCTGGTTGTCTGGAGAGAATCTGTATGGAACTTGCTTTCGATTTCAGGGCGTTGATGGCCTCTTTCAACTTTTTTTGGCTGTTGTCACAAGTCACGAAAAAATCGTAGCTACTGTATCCCTCTCGTGAGATACGAGATTCAATATGGCCGAGCGTAACGTCATGTTCCTGTCATGCAAAAAATATGGAGACATGCAGCCAATGTTAATTTATCTCAATTTACACATGCATATGCAAATAAGGAAACATTTGAATTTAAATCTAAACAAAGTGTCCTTAATATTTATTTTGGAAAATGTAGCAATTCTAATTAAGCGGCAATTACTGATCGAATTAATAATAAATATTAAAAAATAATAAAGAATAATAATAAATAAATAATAAATAATAATAAATATTAATAAATAATAATAAATAATAAATATTAATAAATAAATTAATAAATAAATAATAATAAATATTAATAAATAATAATAAAAAATAAATTAAAATAAATAATAATGAATAATAAATAATAAATATTAATAAACGAATTAATAAATTAATAAATAATAATAAATAATAAATATTAAGAAATAAATTAATAAATAATAAATAATAATAGATATTAATATATAATAAATAAATAATAAATAATAAATAATAATTATTAATAAATAAATAGTAAATCATAAATAATAATAATAAATAATAAATAAATAATAAATAATAATATTAATAAATAATAATATTAATAAATAAATTAATAAATAATAAATAATAATAAATATTAATGAATAAATAATAAATAATAATAAATATTAATAAATAATAATAAATAATAAATATTAATAAATAAATTAATAAATAAATAATAATAAATATTAATAAATAATAATAAAAAATAAATTAAAATAAATAATAAATAATAATAAATAATAAATAATAATAAATAATAAATATTAATGATTAAATAATAAATAATAATAAATATTAATAAATAATAATAAATATTATTAATAAATAATAAATAATAATAATAAATAATAAATATTAATAAATAAATAATAAATAGTAATAAATATTAATAAATGATAATAAATATTAAATAATAATAAATATTAATAAATAAATAATAAATAATAATAATAAATAATAAATATTAATAAATAGATAAATAAATAATAATAAATGCCCTGATACCACACGTGACTTGCATGGTTTCTGATCAATAATTCCCGCCACTTCAGTCTCTTATTTTTTACTTATTTATCTTCGGATGTATATGAATACGACACAGCAATCACCTTTCTATTTTTATCTCAGCAGAACCGTCGTCAAGAGATTGTGGGTTCTTGGATGCGTGGTGAAATGGATATGAACTCAGAGTCAAATACTTGATAAGGAAGACGAGACCCACATATTCATCAAAATTATTTTATAGTTAACGTGTATTTGGGTTTTATAGTATATGTTAATGTTATTGTTTTTTTCTGTATGACCAATAATTCTATAGGTTACCTTAGAAAGAAATAGTCTAATTTGGTGATCAATGAGGTAATCCATAAAACTGTTATTAACTAGCGTCTGTTTTACGTTATTGAGTTCTTTAAGGAAAAGTGTGAAGTATTGAGGGATAATGACGAGGAAAGACACGTGTTATATTTAACAAAACAAGATAAAGAATTTATTTACAAATTGACACATTTGAAGTTGCCAGTAGCTTGTTTCAGGAAAAAAGAATCAAATATTTAAAGTTCGTAGTTTCGATGAATTGTCAAGAAGAGAAAATGTTCATATTAAATCATCGGAAATTGAAAAAGTTCGTTTTTCATATAAAAGTTATACGGTTGTATTCAACATGAATGAAAAGATATATTTTAAGGTATTTAGATGTGGAGTTGAATAGAGTTCTTTGAAATTGCCCTGCTCTCATTAGAGGTTGTTATATATATATATATATATATATATATATATATATATATATAATTATTTATGTAAAAATATGATTCCAATGCTACATAAGAGTTCTCATGTTTCAAAACAAGAGCCGAAAACTTCAATATAATTATTTGAATTAAATTGAATTAAAGTACTAAGCTCTGTTCCATCTTCAAGCGAAATTTTTACTGGAATAACCTATTCCTGAAATTTACGCGTTTTATAAGCATATTCATTATTGAAATTAAGATTACTATGGTAACGGCTAGAGCAATTGTTTAAAGAAAAGGGGCGTAAGGGTTAATAATTTGTATCAATATCTCAGTTACATTCACAGACGTCAAGTCAGGGTAAGGTTGGGGTGTCTAAATTTAAAGCGGAAGATGACATCGTCTAGTCTGGTTAAGTGTCTATGGAGATTTATTTATTTATTTTTTCTGAAAGGGTTGTGTGTATATAAAAAAAACTGTCGTAAGTCGCTAACATTTGTTTTTTTTGACGATTTCATAAAGGGTTATCTTTATTTTTTAAATTTTTTTTTATAGGGCATTTAAACTATTTATTTAGACTATGGAATTTAAAAATTATTTTATTGTTTGTTTGTTTTTATCCTAATTATTTAATACGAAAATTTGATGATGTCGACAAAAAACCGTTAACTCCTGTCTATTGTTTAATAGATTTTTATTATTTAGAAACTTAATAATGTGTAGTTTTTCATGTAGGCATAAAGGGCATGGGTCATCCCAAGTTTTACAAGTTCTAGTTTTGTTTATAATTTTCCATTTTACTTTTAGTGTTTTATTCATTTCCTTCAAATGCCAAAAATATTTAGATAGAGATGTCTTACTTCTTTTATTTATATTGTTGAAAGAGCACTTATGCTGCCTCCATCTGGTTTTAAATTCATTCTTCGTAGACCCAATGTATATCATATTAGTATTAGGACTCTCAATGGATGACATAGTACATTGGTATACCACAGATTTTACGCGGCATTTATTTTCCAATGGGCAGTCTTCTGGGTTTCTACAATCACATAATTTCTCACTATTTTTGTCTAATTTAAGTGTAGGGTTTTTATTAATACTATTCTGGCATGGGGGTTTATTCAGGATTTTATTATTGTGTTTTCTTATTATACTTTCTAGATTTTCAGTGCAGCTGTAATTTAATTTTAGGGAGTTTTTATTAAATATTTTACTAAGTTTACTATTGGTAGGAAAGTGTTTTTCAATTAAAGCTAGGAATTTCTGTCCTAGCTTAATACTATTTGGTTGAACGGAGGGGTATACCAAATGATTTTTCTTTTCCTGTTTTTTTCCCGTTAGTGCAATTGTTTCTATAATTGATGTTAGCATTTTTGTATCCACTATTTTTTAGGGCTGCGTTATAAAAATTACTGTGTTGTTGGAATATTTCTTTATTAGCGGAGTTAATGCTGTTTCTATTCTCTATTGATGAGGGTATATGTTTAATTATGGATAGAGGGTGGTTTGACTTCGGGTGTATATATAAGAGGTTAGTATTAGGTTTTTTATAAGGTTGGTATGTGTTGTTTGTTAAATCTAGAGTTACGTCGAGGAAGTTTACCCTTTTTAATTTAGTACAGACTGTTGTTTTTAAATTTAGATTTTTAAATTCACTATATATAATCTTTCTAATTTTCTCTATTTTAAAATTAGTAGAACTCCTTACTACCATGAGCCCGTCATCTCTATACAGTCCGATGTCCTTAATATCTATTTCACGGTGCGCGGTCAGGTTGTACAGTATTAAAAGACCGACAAGGTCAGAAGACTCTGCAGAGTCTAAAGATCCCATAGTGATGTCAAAATGGTCATTATTGTTTTTAATCGATTGATCCCCATTATGAATGAGGACAGATTTTTTTTGCACTGAGAATTATATCTATTTCTTCCTTTGTCAGGTTAGAATACACAGTAGCAAACTCCAGGACAGCCGTGAACAGATCCTTCGATATTGACGGGTAGTAATCCACGATATCGAACTGTAATAGGGTGCAATCAGGTTTATTATCAATATTGGTAAACCAATTGATGACATCTTTGATATTAATCCATAATTTTAATCCAAAGGGGTTTTTAATTTGGCTAGTAATTCTTTCCAGGATTCTTTTGCTTATCTTACCGATGTCGGGTCGGGTAGGGTTAATCATTCTTGTAGTAGGGTTTTCCATAAAATCTTGTTTGTTGTCTTTAAGGGTTATGTAACATTCCTTTTCAGCAAGTTTGCCTACTCTATCGCTAATTTTTAATTTATCAGCAATTTTTTTACTAGCTCTGTTAATTCTATTAACCATATTTATGTTGTTGTTGTAAGCTTTTTTATAAGTCCTAGTTAAGTTTTTTTTTAATCAAGTTGTTGCAGACATCTGCTGTCAATTTATAGAAGTTGCCATATATATATATATATATATATATATATATATATATATATATATATATAATTTGACATCGGCGTTATTCAGACGCGTGGAACTCTGGACTTTTCTGCCTCCTGCTTCTTTCTGCTTTCATTGGTTAAAATAAATTTTCACATAGGCTCGATAAACTTTGTCTCGGTCTTTTCTTCAGCCCGGAGCCAATCACTTTTTCTATTGGTCAAAATAAATTTTCGCATAGGCTCGCGAATTTGTAAACAGTGGAGAAAAGAGAGTTATTTTTATTTCGTATTCACCACACACACATACACATGCACGCATACACACAAAGACACACACACAAAGACACAGACACACACACACACAGACAATCACAAACGCACACTTATACAGTCCCTTAGATACACGAATACGCGGAAGTACACGCACATATACACATGGATATACTCATACACACATGCCTGCGGATACGCAGATACACACACATACACATACACACGCATACACTAACACACACATAGACACGCACGCAAGCGCACAGATATGCACATATACATACGCCCACACTCGCACATACACCCACATGCACAAACACATACACACACTCGCAGACCTGCGCCCGCATGCACACACATTTAAACACTTTCTCAAACACAGACACGCTCACATACACGCATACTTAGGCACACACATGCACATACGCATATATACAAGCATACACACTTGCGATATCCACTCACATACACACACACATACACACGCACGGGCATGCACACAGACATGCACATATATACAAACGCATACACACACATGCACACGCACACACATACACACACATAATATAGTTCAGACATCTCGATACTGAAGCAGTTACTAAATTACAACATCCCGGTCGAGGTTAATTGCGATAGTTCGAAGCCAATTCCATCTTCGTCGGTGTCATTCGAAATAAAAACTCGAAAGGAGAGGAAATATGATAGACGGCTCCCCAAACCGGGGAGCATTTTCTTCCGCTTATGTGTTACATTCATATACGGCCCCACAAACAACACCGGAAAATGAATAAAATAATTTTGGGCAATTAAAAGAACAAAGAGATTTTTAATGTGAGCCGAAACCAAGTTTTGCGTCAAGTAGTCTAGAGCCTTTCTTAAGTGTATATAAAGAACACGAAACATCGGTTAACATGTCTGCACCGCATAAATGTTTATTTGTAATCATATCCACATTGTAAAACATAGTGCTACTTCGGCTTGTTATCTACAAGGAAAAGGTAACAAGCCAAAATAGCACCTGTTTTACTATGTAGATATAATTCCAAAATAATATCTGTGAGGTGTAGATAATTTTCTTATAGATAAGCCAAAATAGATATTTTTCTTATAGATAACAAGTCAAAGAAAATTTTTCCTTGTAGATAAGTCAGGTTTTTTCTTGTAGCTAACAGGCCAAAGTAAATATTTTTTTACATTTGGGCTCGCCATAACTAGAAAGAGTCACATTATAATAGTAACTACACCCCGTCTCCGGAATGATAATAAAGAAAGCCGGAGAGTAGAGCGGCCGAAATATTTTGACAAAGCGAATAAAAACGAGGTCTGAAAGTAGCGAAAGTAGTACTAAAAAATACAAAAAGAAAAAGCAAAGATACTCTTTTTTTCTCGTTCGTGTATTGATTCTTGTCTTTTCTTAGGTACTCGGATATTTCGCGGACGCACATTTGACCGACAGACATTTAACCGAATTGACATTTACCGAAAATCTAGTGGCGTACTTATATATATGTTACACTCTTTATCGTAATGTGCTACATATATTTATATTTATTTTCTGTATTAATTTATAATCTTTCGTTTTTTTGACAGGCTTTTTTTAAAAATCTATTCTGTATATATTATATTTTACTTCAAATATTACTGTAAAATGATAAGTATTTTGAGAAAAAGCACATTTTACTGCAGCAAAAATATTAAGCTTTTACGATATGAAAGATATTTCAATTTGGCTTTTAATGATCATTATCTTAAAGGGATGAACTAGTTTTTATCTTACTGTTAAGTACGAATTTAAATAATTAGGTGCTACTTTTTTTATCTAAATACACTCAAATATTTAAAAAAATACTAATTTTAATAAACAAATATTGAAATAAAAAAACTTTTAACTTTAAATTTAGATTTAGTAATTTAATTACTTGAAATTTAGTGGTAATTATTAGTCCTATTGTACCTTATAATACTGCTAACTAAAATATTTAAAGTATTGTTTGTTACTATTTTTACTTATACATTTTCGGCCAAATGTCCTTTCAGCCAAATGTCCTTTCGGCCAAATGTCCGTGCTTTTCTTGAACTCATACAATACCACACACAGTTAACCCTCTACCTTGAGTGGCTCTTGGGCCTTGTATTGGGTAAACATTATTATATATACATGCATATATATATATATATATAATACTCACCTGGAAGACGTTTAGGGCTTCGGCTAGAGCACCGACTTTCTCTGGCAGCGTGAAGTGAAGACTGACCGTTTGTTCCAAGTCATCTGATTCTTCGATGTAACTGTGGTGCGACTTTAATTCTTTTTCGTTCACGATGGACTGTCAAAGAAATAAAGGATAAAAAATCAAACTCAGATTCGAAAAAGTTTTCCAAAGAAACAAAAACGGCGACATTAGCATGATCGAAACCAAACAAAGATGACCTTACAAAATTGCAAAAAAGGATTAGCAATGCACTCACGCGAAGCTAAGCAACGTTGAACCTGGTCAGTACTGTAAGCTTGGATGTGCGGGTGGTGTAAAGGATAGCGGCTTGGAATGGGAAATCGGAGGGCCGAGTTCGAATTCCAGTCTGGTTCGTTATATTCACTTCCGTGTAAATACCCTTGGGAAAGTTATGAGCCTTAGCTCCTCTTCCCCTCCCAGCTATGGGTTTAATAATAATAGTATCATACAATAATTATTATCTCCCCAAAATTATTACAACCCCAAAATAGGTTTCGGCTTTAAATAACTGGATTGCTATGTGATATCAATCTGTTTATATGGCCATGAATACAGGACAATATCCTTAGATTTGAAAAGGAATAAGGTTGATAAACCGTAAAAAAAATCAATCAATCAATGCATTCGTATTATACATGTCATAGTCCAATACTGTCATTGATGTGGGCATTAATTCTTAACTGTTGACAATATCTTTTTACTCTTCTTCTTTTCAATGCATTTCTATAGTAAATTTATAATCAATGCATTTACTTTATAGAAATAACATTTCTATTCTGTTACTAATGCGTGCACTAATTTTTCACCATTGACAATCTTTTTGCTCCTGATTTTCAAATAACTTGTTTTTTTCTAAAGCATTTCATGGGGTGCAAGAAGATAGAAGATGGCGATTGACATTGCATTTAAGTTTATGGGGATTGTAGTTATGAGGGAAGTAAGGAAACGGAAGGGAGTTTCACAGGCGGGAAGAGCAAGAAAAGAAACTGGCGGTTATATTTAACTATTTCAACAGTAAAAGGGTGGGATGTAGATGCCAATCTAGTAGCATGCTTAAATTCACGTAGTCCAGGCACCAGGGGAAAAACAGTTGACATGAAAATATTTGTAGAAAAGACAGGGAAGCCGTGTCATGCCTCTGTGTGTGTGTGTGTGTGTGTGTGAGAGAGAGAGAGAGAGAGAGAGAGAGAGAGAGAGAGAGAGAGAGAGAGACTGAAGTCGAGATGCCAGGTCAGGATCGATTACATTGTAGATCCTTCTTTGGATTTTGTCAAGAACCTCAAGATGAATAGCAGGAGCCCCAGATCAGATATGGCAACAGTATTCAACGCACGGACGAATGGTAGATTAGTAAATGTACAAGATGTATCTTGACAAGACAAACCTCCTGGCACGACACAGTGACCCGACTTTCCTTGCAGTAGATGCAGCTATTGAATCGATGTAGTCGTTCTACTTCAAGTCACTTGAAAACGTGAAGCCAAAAAGGTGCAATTTGTTGCTCGCTATGAGTCTAGTATCAAGCTATGCTGATGGCGGACAGGAAAGTTTCTTTATGGTGGTTAAATGAAAGCAGTTCTGTTTTGGAGGCATTAAAATTTACAAGCCATTTCTTGGCCCAGTTAACCAAAGATTGGAGGTCCTTTTCAAGTAGCCAGGTTAACGTTTTGGAGGCATTCTAATTGTTGAGGGGTCCACCCATTTTTATACAAATGGACTCACCCAGTGTATACTTATACTACTGCCAGTGAATACCCGAGGAATCGAGTCCCGGGTGACAGAGTAAAAGGTTGTAGGTAACCGGAAGAGTGAGGGTGAGGTAACAGCGTTGTAGGAGTCACAGTGAGCGAGCACGTAGACTCAGTAAGAAGTCATACAGCGATACTTCAATACCAAAGACTATATATATATTTTGCTACTAACCCGTATTCCTGGAACTACTAACCTGCTTTACCAGTTTGTATTATTACGTTAATACATTATTTTCCTATATTCATTCCTGGCGTTTGTTATTTATTGGTACCGGATTTCAACCCGGAATCCACAACACAAATTTACAAGCCATTTCCTACCCAAGTTAACCAATGATTGAAGATTTTTTTCGCAAGCAGCGGTCAGGTTGACTTTGTCAGCACTGCCGGGTTTACTATTGAGACAGTAGTGGAAGGTAGTATCATCAGCATAAATGTCTAATTGGGGACTGATGACATCAGGAAGATCATTAGTGAAGATCAAAAACAGCGTAGGACCCAGGATAGAACCGTGGGGGACACCTGCGTTCGTGTGAAAGGATCTGGAAGCGAGCCCGTTCAAAACGACTTCCATTTCTCGATTTGATAGGAACGATTGGATTAAATCAAACGATCGTAAAGTAATTCCGTAGCACTGGAGCTTAGAAGACCAGCGGGCCAAACCCTGTCAAACGCTTTCAAGATATCTAGAGCCACAACTCTATAGCAATTTAGTTAGAAGTGCACATATACAAACATAAAAGCTCCATTCTGTCAGTAATGCAAGCATTAATTCTTAATCATAAAATCCCTTTTTCCATATTCATAATGTATTTTTCATGGTAAATGTATTAAGAATGCTTTTAAAAAAATATCAGCACTATTTATTTTCAAAGCCTGACACGCTTTCAACAGTCTGCGGCCCATCTGGAGATCAACAGCTCTCTCACTTTACAAAATTGGGATCTCCAAAGCCAACGTCAAGTCGGTCCTATTTTACGGCCCATAAACCTGGTGGGTAATCAAGACCAACACCCACAAACTTCAGACATTTACCAACCGATATCTCAGGAACATCTTCAATATCAGGTGGCCGGAAGTCGTCTCTAACGACCAACTGCGGAACAGGACCAGACAAACCCCAATCTAGATTGACATGAAGAAACGGAAATGGGGATGGATCGGTCACACACTCCGGAAGCCTGCTTCTAATGTCACCAGGCAGATTCTTGACTGGAATTCACAAGGGAAGCGAAAAGTGGTTTCGACCAAAACAGATATGGCGCAGAAGTGTTGACTCAGAGGTCACGGCAGCCGGCACGACATGGGCCGAACTGAAGAGGATCGCCCGGAACCGCGTACTTTGGAGAGGTATTGTTGCGGTCCTATGTTCCCCAAGAAATCAAGAGGTAAGAGAGAAAAGGAAATGGGGATAGATCGGCCACACACGCCGTAAGCCTGCTTCTAGTGTCACCAGACAGGCCCTGGACTGGAATCCACATGGGGAAGCGAAAAGTGGGTCGACCAAAACAGACTTGGCGCAGCAGAAGTTTTGAAGCAGTGGTGAAGGCAGCCGCGGCACGACATGTGCCGAACTGAAGAGGATCACCCAGAACCGTGTCCGCTGGAGAGGTGTTGTTGCGGTCTTATGCTCCCCAAATAATCAAGAGGTAAGAGAGAAACGGAAATGGGGATGGATCGTCCACACACTCCGCAAGCCTGCTTCTAGTGTCACCGAGCAGGCCTTGGACTCGAATCCACAAGG